TTTTTTTTTTTTTTTTTTTTTTTTTTCCCATGTTCTAGCGGAAGATTCACTCTCATTTTGCACATCTGAGAGTGCTGGAGCGAGGCCCTGTCTGGAGAGTGCATTGGAACGAAGGCCTCACAACTTCGCTGGGCTGTTTTTTCTCTCGCGTGCGGACAGGCGGAGGGTCAGATCCCACTACCCAGGCTGGATTATTCATTTTTCACCCTCGATTACGAAGATCAACGGTCAGAAATGAACAATAGGGGCTAGTGGGATCTGGCCCTGAGAAAAGACGTCATCACACCAACACACTTCTTCGAGGGATCTCTGAATGATCTCTGCAGGCACTGGCAGCCAGAGACATCCAGGAATGCCCTACACTCTTCCCCGGAATAGAACACACGGGCGCTATAGCCGTATCTGGGTCGCTATTCGGGTCATTATAGCCGTAGATGGTGGTCGTAATTACTAATTATAGCCGTATTTGGGATGGCCATGCGTTCTACTACCGTCTTCCACCGAACACAAAGCACCCTTATTTTGGATGTATCTGGCCGGAAATATAGCTTGTATACATTTATTTTTAGGGTGCGTTATGTTCGGGGGAAGACGGCGAGGGAGAGTATGCTCTGAGGCGCGCTCCTCCCGCAGCGGGTGAGCGCGCGTGCTCAACAAGTGCGCGGCCATCTGGTCTTCGTAATCTTCATCTGGTCTCCGGAATCTTGCTGTTTATTTATTCTTCTTTTTTTTTTTTTTTTTTTTTTTTCCTTGTTTTGAATGGACCACGGAGCAGATATTAAACTGATCAGAACAGATACTACACTTGATCTTAGGCGAAAGGGCCGAGAAAGGTATTTTTTCTTTCTTGTTCTTACGTAATCTGCTGGCACATGTCTTAGGGCGAGGTCCCACTAGCAAAGAGGATTGGATTGAACACCTGAATCTGGACTTGATTGCGGAAAGGTGCAGAATGTCGAGATTGAACTGCGTCGTTTCCGCATCTCTGCTTAAAACACGTCCAGATTCAGGATATTTGCTAGTGGGACCTCACCCTTAATCGTAGAATTATGCAACTCCTCCGCCGTTGTTGCCTGGGGCCCACCGACGGCGACGAGTAGAATAGAGTTTAGAGTTTAGTTGTTGTTGTTGTTGTTGTTGTTGTTGTTGTATGTTTCTTCACACAACTGATCTCATATATTCAAAACTTCAAACATGACGAGGCCGGGTCCTCGCAATATCCCGGAGAAACACCTTCTGGGAGCTTTACCCAGCTTCGCTTTGGATAACTGTCAACGCCTCATCGGGGAACAGTATCCATAAACCTCTTACTTCCAACTCCTAATTCCTAGTCCTAAATTACCAAAACAGGCCTAATCCGGCCTGAAATCGGCCCAGCTTCGGCCGATTGGAGCCATACACTCCAGAGTCCCGTAGCACTCTACCACCCTCCTCCCGTGGTTGGTCTACTGTGACCCTACTCTGAACCGAGTGCCCTGGTTCGAAGGAAAGAAAAAAACAAGTCGTTCCAACATGGCCTAAAAACCTCTCAAACCACAAACCAACCCTTATTCTTTAACTATGCCCCTCATCTATGCCCCTACTCTACCCCACCACCCCGAAAATTCTAACCTACCGTCTACAGAGATCTTAATTATCTCCTCCCTCTGACACCAAGTGGCTTGGAACCAGTCCATCCCTTTCCTGCTTCTGCCCCCTCTCACCTTTCTCCTCCAGTCCGCTCGAATCTCCTCCTGTAACAGGGACTTGAACATCCTCTCCCCCTGGGCCTCTGGGAGACTCTGTCCCTTGAATCTTAACTCGTTCCGGTCAGCCCATATAACCCATAGCATCACTGCTCTACATACTTGCGCAGCATAGCCCCACCCTTTCTCCCCAGATATCCCTTGTGGCATAACACCTAATAACACCCACCGCTCTCCAGCGAAGTCATCCTTGCCTGACCAGAATTTCCAGTGGGCAAACCACCAGTCCCACCATCTTCTTGATTTGGGGCAAGCCCACCAGAGATGATGCACCGTTTCAAAAACCCAGTTACACCGATCACAAGACTCTTTAACCGGCATACCTCTCATTTTCAACCATCTTGCCACTGGTACTGCAAGGTGCGATTGAAGCCAAAGTAACGACGCTAGTTTTTGGGATGGAATCTTCGACAACTGTGTCCAAAGCCCCTGAAGCTCTTTCTGGCTAGGTGGGTCCAAATAAGGAACTGTTTTTTCCCATTTCCTAGACAATTCCTGTCCTGCTTCTTCAGAACAGCTGGTTTGAAGCTTCCGAGCAACTTTATCCTGGTTCTCCCGCCTCCAAACGATTTCTGAGTTCTGTTTCCATCCCCAGGCAGTCTGATCGATACACATCACCCTGAGCGGATCCCCTCCTGCAATCAGTCTGCCTGAAACTGGGGGGTCCCCTTCTTTCTGCTCCACCGCTGCCACTTTTATTTCCTGAAGATTGGCTAGCCCATAGCAAGATCTCTCTCCCACTCTTTTGAGCTCGGGACTGCCACTCACTTCTTTTTCGTGGACAGACATGGTGCACTTGCCTGGGATTGAAGAGTCCCAAGCCTCTAGCTTCAAAAATTCAGCATTACCATTGCTCTCCTTGCGGTACCAGGTTCCTGTACTTGGAACGTGTTCCGGACCCAAGAATGGAACCCAGTCATCAGGAACAGCATTGATGATTTCCTTGAGCCTCTCCTCTTGCAAAGGCAGCCTGCCCAGCAACTCCTTTGGTGAAGCCGGGTGTTTCCATTGTCCCAGCAACTCATCCCAAATATCTCTAACTGTAGAGATTCCCCTCTGAATCCACTTCAGACCGAAAGAACCTGGCCTGTTACAGGCACTGAATGGCTTTCCTTCCTTATTCCTCAGACCCGGGTTTTCGAATAAGTGTTGTCTCAACACTTCTTCTTTTGAGCTTGGTTGTGCCACCTGATCTGGTTTGCGACTTCGCCAGGCAAGGATAATGTCCTTCCAAAACTTGGACTTGATCCGTTTATTTAGGAAGGATTGAATCGTGATGGCCACCCACACGTCTGTTGGCCTGGATAAACCCCATTGTTCACAGAGCAGCTCCTCCGCCAGTAGGCACCAATCCGTCTCTTGCTCTGCTGCTGCCACCTTGGCTATACAATTCGCAAGGAGTTTCAAATTCTGGAACTCTGGATCTATCAAGCCCAGACCGCCTTCATGTCTGGGGGCGCAGAGGGTGTGCCAGGCAACCTTTGGGATGTATCCTTGGCCTTCCTCCGCCCTGGGCTTCCAAATGAACCTTCTCGCAGCCCCCTTGACTCCCTGTACCAGCGGTTTTTCCAGCTTTCGAACCTTTGCCACATACCACAGAACTGAGAAGGCAGCCACCGTCACTGCCAAGACTCTACCGATCAGAGATAAGTGTGGAGCGGAGCCCCAACTACGAATCCTACCCTTCACCTTCTCCTGCAGGCCAATGGACTGGGCTTCTGTACTACTGTCTAATGCTAGTTGTATACCGAGATAGCGCTCGGCCTCCCCTGACTGAACCCTGCGCATTCCCCAGTTGACAGACAGTTGGAAGTCCAGTGGCAAAAAGAATATCGATTTATTCCAATTTACGGCCGCCTCCGACAGCTCTGCGTACCTCTTCAGACACAGTTTCAGGGCCTCTAACGAGGACGCTGTGTTAGCCGACAGTGCCAGCAAGTCGTCTGCTAACGCCTTGACTCGGCAATCCTTTCCGCTTCGTAGTCTCAGACCTTCCAACAGAGGGTGATTCCTGATGTCATGGAGCAACACCTCTAGCTGCAGCACGAAAAGAAGCGGGGCCAGGGGACAGCCCTGTCTAAGCGATCTCGACAGACTGAATGAATCTGAGTGATGACCATTCACTTGAACTGCAGCAGAGGAGTGAAAATATAACGCCCTTACTGCATTGCAGAAGGCCTCTCCAAAATTCATCTTCCTCAGAGTTGTCATGACGAATGGCCAACTGACCCTGTCGTATGCCTTTTCGAGATCCAGCATCAGTACCGCCACGTCCTGGTTCCGATATTCGATTACCTCCAGGGCCTCTATTGCCGTTTGCTAAGTTTTCGAAAATCGACCTCCCTTTTACGAACGCCCCCTGATCCATACCTACAAGCCAGGGTAGATACTTCCCTAACCTGTTCGCCAAAGTTTTAGCCAACAATTTATAAGAGAAATTCAGCAGCGAGATAGGACACCAGTTCCTTATCTCGCTCCGACTCCCTTTCTTGTATAGTAGGGTAATTATTCCCCTGGACATCGTAGGTCCCAACTTCCCGCCCCGGAGAACTTCATTATAGATCAGAACTAGATCGTTTGACAGTACTTCCCAACACACCTTATAGAACTCCATGGGGAGTCCGTCATCTCCCGGGGCCTTTCCCTTTGCTACCGTACCAAGAGTGGCAGCAAGTTCCTCCACTGATACAACCCGGTCCAATTCCTCTTTAGCTAAATCTGGCAAAGCGACCTCTAAAGCGTCCCATAAGGTAGAGTGATTAGACAGGTCTGTATTTGGATCCTCATACTGCGAACGAGAAGTCAAGATGTCCTTGAAATAGGCCGCCGCGTAAGTGCACATGCTTGCGTTCTCTGTAGCCGGCGGGAGACCAATGAGGTGGGGGTGCATGAGCTCCTTCATCTGGACCGACTTCCTCTTAGGTAGCAACCTCTGAAAGGTGTCTTTGGTAATCCTGTCCCCAGCAATAATCTTCTTTTCGCTCAGCACCTGTTGCCATCTCCTCTGTTTCTCCACCTGAATCGTCTCCCAGTCATGTTGTCGTTGAATTCGCTCCTCTGCCCACACCGCTTCCGATATCGGATGTTCCGCCATTCGCTCTTCGGCCTCCTCCACCCGCCTTCTACAGATTTCTTCCTCTTTGTTCCTCAAGTAGGCAGCAATTCCAGAAAATACTGCAAGCTTGCTTGAAATAACCCTGAGACCAGCATCCAGCCAATCCGCTCTACTGTCGAAAGAGTCCTTCGCCTCTTCCCATTCTGTCCAGAAGGCCTGTACCCAGTCGCATATACCCTTGTCTTCCAATAGCATTGTATTCAGGCGAAAGTAACCTGGGCCTCTTTCATTGAACTCCCCTGAGTGGACTGTCATTAGGACTGGTTTGTGATCCGAAGTGAAAGCTGCCTTGGTGCCCACTGATAGGACATTGCCAACCAGCGACTCAGAAACGAGGAAGAAGTCCAGCCTCCTCTTGACATGTGCCGTCTGAGGTGCTGTTCCAAACCAAGTAAATCCCGCCTCCTGCGGATTCATTTCCCGAAATACGTCATGCAGCCCCCAACGTTCTGCCCACATCAAGAGGGTTCTCCTGTCCCTTTTCATACTTTCGCCTTTTTCGGAATCCAAACCAGGCCTGCTAACCATGTTCCAGTCCCCCCCAACAATGAGATAGTCGGACTTTGGCAATTTACGAGAGAGCATCTCTATAAATTCAACTCTATCCAAACCATCGTTAGGAGCGTAAATAGAGGCAAAGACCCAATCCTCCGAACCTACACTTACTTTCACCCATGACCAACGGCCCCATATATCGTTGTCACAATCAATGACTCCCATGTCTAACCGCCTATGGATGAGTACCGCTACACCCCCTTTGCTCCCTCGTGCCGGGGACCAGAGCCGAGAGGACCAGACCACCAATCTTTCATCTGAACCAGTTTTGACTCTGACAGTTTAGTCTCTTGAATAAATATTATATCAATCCCTTCTTTGAAGATCCAGGACTTCACTCCTCTTCCTTTATGCTTGTCGTTCGTATCACCCAACCCCTGCACATTCCACGTTGCAATCTTAATTCTGCCCATTTCCCCCAGACAGATGGCCTGAATATTGGATTTGCCCTGATGCCAGCAAATGATCTGGCCATCGACCACTGAGAGTTTCTGCAAAGTAGGAGGAGGTAAGGTTCCTTCTTCTTTGCAGCTCTCCGTTCAGTCTTGACCAGAGTTTAGTTTTGAAAATGGGCATGGCCACACCACTCTCGAAATGTGCAAAATGAGAATGAACTTCCTGGTAGAAGATGACCAGATGCATCCGCCAGATGTTTGTCTTTTTCACATTTCGAGAGTGGTGTGGCGAGGTCCAATGTCTGTAGAATGAGGGCGCTGTCGCTCTTCAGAAAAAGGAGAGTTTGTTTGTTTCCTCGAGGAAGAAGGATGGAAAGAGGGGCTGACCGTTCGTGTTTCCTCGAGGAAGAAGGATGGAAAGAGGGACTGACCGCACGACGACTCGAACAGAGCCAATGCATACCATGTCATCACTCCTGACTGAAAACGAGTGAGCACGCATGTATGCTCCCTCTCTACCGTTGTTTTTTTTTTTTTTTT